CTTCAAAGAGAAAGGAACAATTTTAATCGCATCATATGACCCTTTAATATACTTATGAAACATTAATTTTTTTATTTTACAGAGCAGTTGTATAACATAGTTCTGTCTTAACATAATAACAATAATAATATATTATGACTATTATTGTATATAATCCCACTCAGAGCTTTAAGGCAACAGTTTCAGTTGATAAGAAATTAGTCTGATTAGGGTCAAAAATAAATTAAATTAGATACTTTTCTAATTTTATGCCCTTTATGTCGTAGCAATTTTTCCCTGTGGTATCAAAAACGCTATTATCAGTATTTGTCAAGGTACTGTATGGAAGCTCGAAATTCCCATATTGTGACAACAGTACTAAACTCGGAATAAAATACATTTTACGCACCCAGTGACTTTGACCCCGTTGTTTGTCATTGGATTCACCTACGATCTCCTCCCATACAGCCGCAGTGCGGTCAAAGGAACAAGACGCCAACACCTGACCAAACTCAGGATGCGCCCATGTCACCCTCCACACGGATCCACTGTGAGTCTACAGACAGAGACAGACACAACTCAGAAAGAATACAGCCCTAAAACACATCCATCAAAAATGGCCTCCATTAAAACTAATTACATTTCACTTCATTTTTATTTATTAAAAGGGTAACTCTTTATAATAACTTTCATTTATAAATCATGAACAAACATTATATAATGCTTAACAGATCATTAGTTAATATATATTCACATAGCTAGAAATATGAGATAATGTTCTTGTTAATGTTTTCTAATGAACTTACTAAACATCACCTAATGATTAACATATGATTATTTCATGTAAACGCAAATGCTTACAAATGTCAGTAAACTTTCAGTTCATATGATCTTCATGAACTTTGTTTGTTGAGTAGACCTCTATTTATATCTCTATTTTAATCTATTAGTTATTTGTTCGTGTTTTCGCAGTAGCCAATCTAATGTGGAAACTATTCATAATTTGCAAATGTTTATAAACGATTACTAATCATTTAGTATCTTTATGGGCATTGGACTTTTAATGTAACAAGGTTTGTGTAAAGGGTGGGTGGTTATGTTTAGCTAAATGCTTGCTGAAGACATAACAGATTGTAATTTTGGTGCAAAAACATTTTTTATTGGCTCAACACTCACATTAGTATACTACTCTTGGAAATTGATAACTGGATATTCCTTGAATCATAAATAAACAGGGGAAAACAAATAATTTTTTAAAGAAAATACTTGTTCATTTAACAAAACAATATAATATAAACAGATTGAACTGTGTTCCCTTATAATAATCAAACTGACCTCTGTACACTGTTGACCCTTTAACCAACCTTTAAACCTACCCATGCCACCAAACTCATCCCTACACTGTAAAAAATGACCGTGAATTTAACGGTAAAAGACTGTAAAAATGCTACAGTAAAAACCTGTTAAATGGTTAACGGTAAATTCCCTTACTATATACAGTGAAAAACTGTATTATGGACATTACATGTAATTTTACAGTAGTGTACCGTTTTTGGAAGTGAAAAAGACCGTATAGTTTACAGTGAATAAGCGTAAATTGACATTCCCAGAATTCCCTGCG